TCAACTCCATCTGTTGGTGACTCCATGTTTGCCAGAGTGAAAGAGATTTTGAATGACTAATTTTTCAGAATTATATCATTACACCTTTCTTCTGGGGGCCTTTGCATAGACTTGAACCATCAAACTTTCTGTTAGTAGTGCAACTCATTATCATTTGCACCATCTTTGAACTAGACTAGTGAATCACTAATGACACATTATTATTAACTGAAAATGGAGAAAGGATTGAAACTGTCAGCGGTTTCACCTTACTTGTATCCACAGTCAACACTCTTGGTACCAGCAGTCAGGAGGTCAGGTGATATATTTCTTTGGGCAAATCTGCTGTCAGGGACCTCTCCAAAATACTGAAGAACAAGCTGGGCACCTATATTTTCATGGGTTCTCCTAAATCACCTTTGAGAACATTCTGAATGTGAGAAGAGTTCCTAGGGCAAATTCCTAGGGCATTATCTTCTCTTCAGCAAAATAAACTCTGCTTTCACCTCTTGACATGTCTGGGGATTTCATATAAGATTTTGTTTGAAGAAGGAATTATATTAATAAAGAGTGTAAAAGTCTTAGGAAAGTTAGTTAAAAATTAATCCTGCTACAAAGGTCATTAAGTGTTCATTCATTCATTCATGCATTCATTCAAATATTTCTTGAGACTCTCTTAGTTTTCCTTTTTTTAGGATCAGGATAGTTAACTTCAAAGATATGATGATATGATAATGATATGATATGATAAATATATATGGCTACCAAGCTAAAGCATTGCTATGAGGCATCTATGACTTGACGGCACTAAACAACAACAACGAGGGAGTTCAGTTGACCTAGTGGACAGAAAGTAATGTTACCAAGCCAAAGGTGGGTGATTTTAGTCTGTGGACATTCTTCTAAGCGGCATAGCACTGGTCTGTCCATTTGTTGTACAGGGGTAACTCATGGTTGCTGTGAAGCTTCACACTGTGACACTGGTGTGTCAAATGTGAGAATGGTTACCCATGGTGGACAGTGTTTGGTGATTAAACAAGCTTGAAGCAAGAATGGCATCCTTCTGAAATAGCCTGCCTCCGGAAACCCTATGGACTTGGAGAAACGATGAAAGTTATGCATGTTCAGGTCTTTCATTCATAGGGTCGCTATAAGTTGTCTATGACTCAACAGCACTTAACAATAACAACATATTAAGTTATCATTATCATTCCATTATTATAATGGAATGAAATAATTGTCCATGTGACTAGGGGTTAAGTCATGCCAAGAATTATTTCCATTTTCTTGCACTTGATCCAGGTTGAGAGTAAACCTCTGGGTCAATCCCAGACGCAACCTTCTCAGATCAAGAACTACAGAATGCTCCAGTTCTTTAGTAAGGTAGGAAATTATATTTTGTGTCTGGTCTAGAAGAAAATGAGGAGGAAAGGGGTGATGGCCAGGGCAACTTTTAACAGGAAATTTTGGTTAACGCAACTTAACATACTCTATCTATATCACCATGTTTCACAGGATTTCAAATGTCACTATTAACTGATAGCCACATTAATGTGCCCTCTCACCATAAATAAACACATGCTTACAAATTAAAAACTAAAGCAATTAAGGTAAGGACCAGGGATCCAAATGAATAGTTCAAAGCAATAATGTAGCATAAAGGAAATGAGAGTTCCTGTTGCAGCAAAGGTTGTGTTTGGAAGAACTTCTTCATGTTAGAGTGGTAAGGTATTGGAATAATGCTGTCTTCACTAATATTTTGGAATACAAAACCCTATGAGGTCATCTAATTTCTGTCCCCATGATAGTTATTAGATAATTGCATCTTTGAGAAACTAGGTCTTTTGTCCAAGGTCTGCAGTAAGTGGTAGAGATTCAAAGTTAGAGCTCATCAATTTAACCACTCTACTTCCTTCAAATCTTCATTTCTATCCAGGAATTTTTAGTATTGAGTTATGCTTATCTTTGTTATAGGAGTCCTGGTGGTTCACTAGTTAAATTGCTAGGCTGCTAATCAAAAGTCTAGGGGTTTGAGCCCAGCAATTACTTCACAAGAGAGGTATGTGGCAGTCTGCTTCAGCCTCGGAATCTCTATGGGGCTCTTCTGCTCTGAGCTTTAAGGTTACTAAGGACTGAGTTGGCTCGATGGCTTTGACGTGTGTGTGTGTGTGTGTGTGTGTGTGTGTGTGTGTGTGTGAAATAGAAGGTATATCTTTATATTTATTGGGGAATGAGGGATGGAGAACCTAACCTTGATGATAGCCTCTTGCCTGAGTCTTCTGTAAATTTATTCCATTTCTTCCTTCTCTAGAACACGAGCAACATTGATTCACTCCCTTTTGTGGACACCGGAGGAAAGAAGACCATGACCAACTTCCCTCACATCAGCAGTAAGCTTGTGCTGAAACCATCCCTCCTGTGTCAGGTGAGTATAAAACTGGGAAAGACAGGTTAGAGATATGGCTTTAGCACAAAACCATGCCTAGAAAGACAATCCAAGATATTGGGAAAAGCATTGCATCAGCTCACGAGGTAGGTTTTACTCTTGCTCTTACTCCAATGTATGTAGACTTAAGCAAATAAGTTATGGGCTTTCTCTTAGCCTTGACTTTCTCATCTGAATTAAAAAAAGACTTTTTCTTGAGTCCTGAGGACTCTTTGGTGGTGTACTCCATAAGGAGATGCGTTGCTACCCCAAAGGCCATGACTCTCTGATGGTCCTAATTCACCAGCCATTCCTTGGGAGAAAGATGAGCAATTGCCTCCTACTACATGATTTACAGCCTTTGAAACCCTGACTGGCAAGTCGTCTGTAAGTTGGTTCTGACTCGATGACAATGAAAAAGAGGGAGAGAATGGCTTCCTTTAAGGACTCACTGAACAAAGAAGCAGAGTGTCTGAAACCCAAATAATGGACCCATAGGTTTGTTTTATAAAGGCATGGACTAAGGATCCAAATGAATAGTTCAAGCTGATAATGTAGTCCCATCTACCCTACCTTGTAGTGTGACAACCTAATGAGATAATATGTGGGGAAATGCCAAAAGAGGTGTTAGACACGTGTAAGTCCATGTGCCCTTGGGAAGTTCGTTTATCTAGGGGAGAACTGGCCTACTCAAGAGCAGAAGTCAGAAACCATCCCCCTCTCTTCTTCAATGATGAGTTACCAGCTAAATCCTGTAATTGACCTGAGTCCTTAGACAATAGTGTGATCCTTAGTCAGATAACTGCCTTTGAGAGTTAAGAAAATCCTCTTTCCACTGTCTAATAATTACTACTTCTTACTCAGAGACGTAAAGGGAAAGGACTTGGCTGAATGTGGGTTTTGTGCTTAGAGAAATAGATTATAACCCTGAGGAGAAGCCTAATTAGCCCCTTATCACCATCTCCTTGCCTGGACAGGAGAACCAAAATCACCGTCGAGTATCAGCTTCTGAGCTCAAGACTTCAGAAGTATCTTCCCAGCCCAGCATTAAAACGCAAGATCCCAAACCAGGGGAGAAACCTCCAAGGCAACACAAATTTCCTCTGACAGCAGGAGGTATGGCTTTGGGGTTACAGCTATGTGTGAGGAAAATAGAAACAACGGGGTTCATAGCCTTTTAGTTCTCAAAACAAGAGGCTCTGTTATGTGCCAGCATTATTCAATGCTCAGAGTACTGCTACCACAGTTTTGCCCTTGATCAGCTCTCTCTTTTCAAACAATCTTAGTAACTACGCTCTAGGAGATAATTTCATTTCTGAGTAAGGTCTACTGTGTATAGAGCTGGCATCTGTCTTCTGTGACGTTCCTTTTAGATAGATGCATTTGCCTCTGTTTTCCCCTTGCTTGTCCATAGCATTCTTCTTTTTCATAAGACCTTACTCCGAAGGGATTAGGTTTAGGATTTATCCTACTCTATCCAGCATTACTTTATCAGTATAACAAAATAAAACCAAAGCAGAATGAGAGCTACACAACTTTTGGGAGACACAATTCAATCTACACAACAAATGTATATATCTCCGTCTCTCAGAAAATGTGAATTTCACCCCATACTGAAAGCCCTAGATCCTGATGTGTGTGATTGGGTCAGTAGAGACTAGAGAGTCCCTCCTTATAGATACTCATGGAGTCCCTCCTGAGATACTCACTGGCTCAATGGAAGACTTGCGTGGCAATAACTTCCTGAGCCTTCAGAGTCACACTGATGCTACCAACCTGGTCCCTGAATCCATTGGTGTTTGCAGACCCTCTCAGGATAGTTGCTTTGTGTAGCTTACTACATTGATTTTTTTACTCATGCTGCTGTAACTATAATTCTTTGGAGACTGAATTTTACCATCAGAGCTCTGGTGGCCAAGTTGGTAGAGAGTAGTGCTGCTAACCCAAAGGCAAGCAGTTTGAATCCACTTGCTATTCCATGGGAGAAAGAAGTATAGCCTCCTGTCATGTTATTTACAGCCTTTGAAAACTTACTAGAGAGTCAGCTATGAGTTGGTTCTAACTTATCGGCAAGGAGGGATTTTGTTCTAGAGAGGGGTTGTAATAAAAGAAATAAAAGCCTTTAATATTTATTTTTGCCACATTTTCTTCCTGTGAGATAGATGTAGCTTGCCTGGTTGAGGTAAGGGGTAAACTGGCTCAGGATCTACAAGGAATACTACCATCTGCCCCTTGGGGAAATCTCTTGTGCTGCCTCCACTTCACTGACCCCTCTAATGCTTTTCACACAGAGGCCCTAAAGATTTTTAAGAACAAGCTGTCTTCATATGAGCAAAGAGAAATCCTGGGCTACACAGAGCTGTGGTTCCTGGGGCTCAATGCTAAGAAGCTCAACGTGCTTCCAGAGAAATTCGGCAAGACGAGTTGCTTTGATGATGAACATGGATCTTACATGAAGGTGATGGGGAGCGGTTCATGGTAACCACAGGGGGCTTGGAACTTAAGGACAGGAGACAATATGGAAAGAAAAAAGGATGAGAAGTATCTTATAGCATTTAAAACCAAAATTTAATATCCTCTATCAATTTCCAAAGGCTATAAATATTAGCAGGAGGATACTGCTTCAATTTTCTCCCATGGAGTGTCAGGCAAGCTTGAACTGCCAGTCTTAGTTAGCAGTCCAACATGTAACCTACTGTACCAACAGCGTTTGGTGCTGATATATCTCAGGTAGGACTCCTGAGGATTCTAGCAGGTGCTAAACTAAAGGAATACAGTGTTTAAAAATGGGAAAGCATATACTTAATATGCAAAATATTCTGTAGTTCTCTCATAGAATATTTAGGGTACAAGAGCTCAGGGAGGGCCTTTGTACTTATAGTTGGTTGTTATTCTATTTTGGAGGAACATTCTTCTAAGCAGTGCAGCACTCTTCTGTCAGTATGCTGTACTAAGGTAACCTGGGTTTGCTGTGATGCTGAACCTTGTGCGATTGGGATGTCAGATGCCATAATGGTTATCCACAGTGGACAGTGTTTGGTGGAGCTCCCAGTTTAAGACAGCTTTGGAAGCAGGAGTGGCATCCACTTCCTAAACAACATGCCTCCGGAAACTCTATGAACTTTGATAAATGACGATAGTTATAGAAAGGCTTCATAGAGGCCTTTTGTTCATAGGATCACTATGAGTCATGTTCAACTCAAGTTCAATCAACAACAGCAACAATTCTTTTATAGAATATAAGAGAACACTACTGTTGCCCCTTTTTTTGTCTGTGAATATTCTTTTCCATAAGGTCTTACTCAGAAGGGGTGAGGTTTAGGGCCTATTCTACTCTACGCAGCATGATCTTATTAGCATAACAAAGGCAAACCCCTACTTCCTAGCAAGATTAGAGGAGCGTAATTTTGGGGGGACATGTTCAGGCTAATACACTCAGAGAATATTTAGGGTAGCTGGTGTGCAAGCTAAGTGAACTCTCATAGGCTCTCCTCCCACATCCCTGGACCCATTAGAAAAGGCTAGACTAGGGCATAACATGCAGGCTTTCCAACACTTTTTTGTTTGTTTCTTGCAAGGAGCCTTTTATGTTTTCTAATAGATGTTATTTTTCCCACAGATAGAACACACTTCCCCCATCACTATAGTTCCTTGACCCCAGTGACTCTTCCCTTCCAACTTCCCCTTAGATGTACCCCAGGATGATGCTTCCTCTCAGCCTAAAGGTTAAATCTGGGCTGTGATCCTGTCCCTTTCACTTCCAGGCCACTTCTGAGAGGATCTCCAGCTGTCGTGCTTTGTCCACTGGGCTTTCCTGGAGTTTCCTTCTTTGGACATTTTCTTGTAATGTCATTAGTTTCTTAGGCTATGGACTGTCTCTTTAATGATTTCACAGAAGAAGAGGATTGGCTTCACACTCAGGACTAATGTTTTTCAAGTTTTACTGTACGCATGAATCTCCCAAGAATCTTGAGAACACACAGATTCTTACCTAGCAGGGCTGGACTGGGGTCCGAGATTCTGCAGATCTTAACAAGTTCCTAGTGATACCAATGCTGGTGGTCTGGGGACTCCATTTGAGAAGTGAGTAGTGGTGTTTTTTTGGGGAAAGAGGAGTGGTTTGAGTCTAGAGCTTCCATTGAGAGCCCTGGTCCTCAGCTGTTTTTTAGATCAAGAATCCATTTGGTAGTCTGATAAAAGCTATATAGGTACTTGCTCTAGAAAAGACAACCTGAATATAAAGACATAATTTTAGGGCATTTAATGATCTTTGATAAAGAATCCTCAACATAAGCTTTACTTCCAGTTAAGTCAGAAAAACTCAATATCCCTACCCTACCTGGGCCCAGACCCTCTAGGAAATTCTCTAGGGATGCTTCTAATACCTTTAAATCTATTCAATTTAACTTAGCTCCCTTGTCTCAAAAATCTTTGAGAGGTCTGGTTTTGGTGGGGCTTGGAAAAGAATATGTGTTCTCTGATGGGTGTTTTCTCCATATCTTTGTTACATTCCAATGTATATACAGCTAGACAAGGAACACAGGTATATTCTCACATATATTCTGCTTTATTCCTAAAAAAACATAATAAAAAATTTCATTACGATTGAGTCAGGACTAACTCCTAGCTCACTCTGTTGTTGTTGTTATTATTGTTATTATTAGGTGGGGAGAAAAGGGCAATAATGAATGAATGGAATTCCAAAATCTCTGTAGATGTTCATTGAAATTAATAATAATAATAAAAAAATAAGAAAATAGACAGCAATGATATAAAGGAAGCCAACAATAAGGAAAAAAGCCCATAATATTTTTCCAAGAGTGTAAAAGGCAACAGACTTGGACAGGAACAATAATGAGAATTAAATGTCACTAGTGAAATGCACACATAGTTTAAACTTCAGGAATAAATGAGTACCAAGACATTTGTTTAAGTAGCAGATAATAGCTTCAAGTCCATGGATATTTATAACACTCTTACTATGTAATATCTTCAGGGGGAGAAAAGTAGCCCAATATTTTCCAAACCTATTAAATAATAATAATTGGAAAAAAAGATCTCATTACGATTGAGTCAGTACTATCTCCTAGCTGACTATCTTGTTGTTGTTGTTATTATTATTATTATTATACCATTGGGTTGGAATCGACTCATGACTGAACTTCCAGTGGGTTTTCAGAGGCAATAAATTGCACAAGAGGAGATTGCCCATCTTTCTTCTGCAGAGCAGCTGGTAGAATCGAACTATGAGAGACGTGCTACCAACTCCTTATGGACTATGCCACCAGAGTTCCATACATATGCTACCAGCAGATGTTAGTTCAGTAACCATGTATTGATCACCTATCACGTGCTTGGGTATCTGATGGACCCTGGAAATATGAAGGGAGCTATAAAAATGGATGAGACAAGGCCTTTGCCCTGAAGGTACCACACTCAAGGATAAAGCTGACATGTGACTGGATAGTTTACGGTACAACCGAACTGGTGGTTATGTAGAAGATATTGACCGGATAGTATCCAAAAACAACAATATTGATTGACTCAAAGTTGCCCTATTGGAGAATATGTTTCACCGGCATGTCATACATGAATCCATATATACAAACATTTATCCCCCATCTCTCCCAAATTCATGAATATAACACTAGGAATTGGAGATTTATAGAGTTCGAAGACCTTAGGGCTGATTGTATCCAGATCTCTGATTACAGATGAGAGCCTTGCAGATCTCAAGGGGCATGTGGCTTGACCGAGGCCATCCAGATAGACTCTTTAACCTAAAGCTTCTGTTGCTTTGCCTGTATACCTGCTTCTTGGTTTCCAGCACAAGGTGAAATGTGAGTGCTTCCGGGTCTTAAAAAATACCTGCCTTCATGGGTGAGAAATATATAAGTCTGTACTGCTTATCACTGTGGTAGCATTAACTCTGGATAAATTAAAGGGAAAGCCAGATTGGCCAGCAAGGGGTTGAAGATATGTTTCTATGTTGATAGGATTCATGGAGGCCAGAAGTGCATCTTCTTCTAGAGTTGTTAATTAATTGCATTTTTAAAAAAATCACAGAATGTTCAAACTAAAAGTGATCTTCAGGACCACCTATCCAACACTTTTACTTTATAGGTTCTAAAACATGCAGATGACTAGAGCTGAGGATGGACTGGGGACTAGAACCTGACTTTATGAAAGGCAAAAAGGAGTGTTCTTGAACCACTTAACATGGGGCAGAGTATGTGAAACGTCTCTGGCACCATGCACAGAATCTGGTAGTCTGGTATTCAGGCACCAACCTAACCACCATGGTTGTGCTGAGATGAGGGTGAATGTTGGACCAGTTCCCAGTGCACCTTACATAAGGTCCTCACAGGGAATAGCCAGCCACAAGCTGGGAGTGCTATTCAGAGGTCCCAGTGTCTGGGCAACTCTAGAACCTTAATTCTGCTCCTTACCTTTGATCTGGTTTCTGTAGGTCCTCCATGACCACATTGCCTACCGCTACGAGGTCCTGGAGATGATTGGAAAAGGGTCCTTTGGACAGGTGGCCAAATGCTTGGATCATAAAAACAATGAGTTGGTGGCCCTGAAAATCATCAGGAACAAGAAGAGGTGTGTCTTGGTGCATATGGTTAATTCCATAAAGGACTCTTGTCCTTTCATAATGCCTATTTCTCCTAACTGCTACTTCCTCTGAATTTCTTCTTCTTTGCATCTTTCTCCTTCTACCTATATGACTTCAATATCGGGCAAAAGGAGGCAATGGTATAGATTTGCTAGTACTTTCTGTCCCCTCCAAGCAGTCTTGTTTGTATTGTGGGGACAGGTCGAGGAAATGGGCTAAGTGTTGAAACATTATATGACACTGTGTTCTCTGTCCTTGTCCTTCACCCTCCCTACCTCTGTCCAATCACTCTAGATTTCACCATCAGGCCCTGGTAGAGCTGAAGATCCTGGAAGCACTCAGAAGAAAGGATAAAAACAATACCTACAATGTGGTGCACATGAAGGACTTTTTCTACTTCCGCAATCACCTCTGTATCACCTTTGAACTCCTAGGGTCAGCTAATTTCTTTGTTGTTAATTCATTTTCTTGAAAAAAGGTGTTTAAATGACAGATGAAAAAACTTGAGGTCAGAGCAGTAGATTTTTCTGGATGCAAAGATTTAATTACTAGGATGGATTCAACAACCACTTAATTTTCTAGAAGGCCCAGGATCAAGGGAGCTAGCACCAAAATGTTGCCTATTTTTCTCCATCTCCCTCCTCAGTCACACCTGTCACCTGCCAGCATACTCATGATCTATTGTACAGACGCTGGACTGGGTGGCATAACCAAACAAGGCCTTGTCCTCAAGAGCTAATCCAAAAGATGTTGACAATAACTTTATTTACTACTGTATCTCACCCGTTGTCTTCTCAACCCCATAGTGCAGAGGCTGGAAGCCAAAGGAGCACGCAGCTGCCTGCTCAGTGAGAAAGTCATTCATTTCAAGCAAACAAGGACCAGACAGATATTTTGGTAGGAGATCAGAATCTGACTTAAATAGAATGACATCACCTGGCAGAGTATTAGAACTAAAGGGACTTGCTAGTTGAAACAGGTTATAATTTGATTGTCTTGTCATCTGGGAAGAAAAGTCTGAAGTCATTTCAATTAAGTCAGAAACCCAGATTGTATTTGACCAAGGAAAAAATCAGGGGTGAGTTCTCAGAAGCCTAGGGTTATTGGTTCACTGTGCTCATTGCTTCAATGACATCACTGTGACTGGGGAAAGCTAAGAACTGGCTAAATTTGAGTGAGAAATTATATTCTCCTCAACTTCTCTGATGACTATAAAATATACTCTACTCTCCATTCCACAGAGATAGACTATCTTTCCTGTAGCAAAGCAGATCACTTTGGCAGGAGATCTATGAATATAGTGTTTCACAAGTTGGAACTAACCATTTAATGCTCATATGCCTGAGAAAATTATATTTTTATATAAGACATGAAGGGGCAGTTGAGAGGGAAGCACAGTTGAACTTCACTGTTTCATCTACCATAAATTAAAGGGAATATTGAATTTCTTGGACCCTACAGCCCTGCCCCCTCATCTCAGACATACCCGCTACCAGAAGGAGCCAGGTGGTAGAGGACTGTTTGCAGGTTCAAACTTGGTGTTGTAATTTTTTACGCTGATTTACATCACTTTCTCTTTCCCAGAATCAATTTGTATGAGTTAATGAAGAATAATAGTTTTCAAGGCTTCAGTCTGTCCTTAGTTCGGCGCTTTACCTTCTCTGTTTTGAAGTGCTTACAAATGCTTTATGTAGAGAAAATCATTCACTGTGATCTCAAGCCAGTAAGTATAATCTTGGTCCTCCGTAGGATTTGTCCCCATTCTTAGAAATAGCTTGTCCCATTCTATTCCCTTTGAATAACTGGTGCCATCAGAGCCAGAATTTCATGGTAGAAGCCAAATAAGACATCTTTACATGCTTTTTAAACTGGAAAAAGTATGTCCAAACTAAGGGACAAGTCTTGGAAAAAGATGGGAGAGACACTTTGTGTAATTGAGGTAGATAGAAACAGGATCTGGGGGCTGCCCAATACAAGGCCTAGGGAGGGATGGATATGGATATGTCTTGAGTATCAAGATATGTAGTGAAAGGTCCAGGGAATTTGTATTTACCTTTCCTTAGTGAGAAGATATCAAGCCATGTGTAGCCCTTGAGAGCTCTACTTGGGAGGGCCTCAAGTTCTAGCTTGCCATGTAGGCAAACGTCTTACTTCTATTTCTCTAAACCCATACTATATCCACTCTGTTCTGACTTAATTCCAGGGTATAATAAATCTCTGACCACTCGCTCTCGCTCTCTGCTCTAAATTGCTATGCCTTCCACGTATCCTTCTAGTATCCTGTTGTTGCTAGCTGTAGTCCAGTTTGTGACTACTGATGTGTGCAGAATAGGACTACCCTATAGGGTTTCCAAAGTGGTGGTATTTTGGAAATAGATTGCTAGGCTTGTTTTCTGAAGCACCTTTGGGTGGGCTTGAACTGCTAACCTTTTGCCTGGTACTTAACTATTTAAGCCACACAAAGACTCCTAATATTCTATACTTACTCCTATCATTGCACTCATTTGTGTGTGGGTGAGAGAGTTGCTTACTTCTCTGTATCTTCCACTGGAAGATAAGCTCTCACAAGGTTTAGACCCATGTTTTCCATACAGTAATAGCAGTGTATAAACAGGGGCACTAGAGTTATAATTGATAACGCCTATAATATATGGGAAAGATATATGTAAAAGAAAAACAATGGCTACTGAGCCCAAATAAGAGGAACAGACCACAAGTGGAATACACAGGCATAGGAAGGGGAGGAAGAAGGGATTGTGAGAAGATGTGGAAGGAGGCCACCTGGGAATGATTGTATTCTGAGTAAATTAGGACCTGGTGTATGACAGTTGGACAAGTAGAGAGACCAGGCCTGGGACAATGTTATTAAAGCTTTATATCTCTCTGTCATCTTTTCTCTAGGAGAATATTGTGCTATATCAAAAGGGTCAAGTGTCAGTTAAAGTAATTGACTTTGGATCAAGCTGTTATGAACACCAGAAAGGTAAGTTCCACTCCAGTTCCTTTTCCTGAATTGTATTCCTCCCCTTTATTGAGACAAATACTTTACACGTGAGGTCTTCTGGGTCTGGTTTACAAGCATGGCGCTGAATAAGGTGTTTCACTTCTGTGAGTTCAGTTTTTCCATCTAGAAAAGGAAAAGACTGGACTTACGTCTGTGTACTTTGATCACAGAATACTCTGAAACTATTCTGAAGGCAAACAGAGCGTATAAATATCTTCATTAAATCTTATGTTGTTTTTTTTTTAAATTGGAAAACTAGTATAACTAATATAGCCTCTCTGTAACTAATTCAGGGAGCTCTGCTTGCTCGGTGGTAAGGAGTTGTGCTGCCAACCCAAAGGCAAATGATTCAAATCCACCAGCCACTCTGCAGGCAAAAGATTGGCAGTCTCCTCCCCCGTAATTTACTGCTTCTGAGTATTCACTGGAGGGTCAGTTATGAGTCAGTTCCAACTCAAGGGTACATAACAATAGTGTCTAATTCAAACAACAGCTAAGTGATTATGGAGTCCCAGCTTCTCCCCCTAACTAGGTGACCACCAATCACAGTGCTGTCCCACCACCCCATCCAAGTGACCACCAATCACAGTGCTGTCCCTATCCCATCTAAGTAGCCACCAGTCACAGAACTACGCCTATTTCCACTGAAGTGGTCACCAACCACAGTGTAGTCCTCACCCTCATTTGAACAGTCACCAGGTAAGCTTGCTGAAATAACTATAATGCCCCAGTTCTCTGACTCTGTCCCATTCTTTTCATCTATAAAATTTAGACTCCCTACAATATGGTCTTCTATTCATTCTCATCTGCTGAAATTATCTTGAGTATGTCTTTCTATATATTATAGAATATAGAATAGACTGGATATGATACAATATGATATAATAAATATGTTGTTGCTGTTGACTGCCTTCAAGTCAAGCACAACTCAGGACTCAGCGACCCTATGACCAAAAAGGCCCAAAGCCCCTTTACAACTATCGACATTTATCTAAGTTCATAGAGTTTGCAGAGGCATCTTATTTAGGAAGTGGATGCTACTCCTTCTTCCATGTCATGTTATGTCATGTCATGTCATGTCATGTCATATCATATCATATCAATCATATCATATCTTATAATACTTATAATTAGTATAATATAATAAATATAATATAATCTAATCACATCTTCAAATAATAAATACTTCTTCCCAGATTTTTAAGTGCTTCCTCCCTGGTTAAGATGAAAATTCCATTACTATTGGATGATCTCTACCCAAAACTTTTCCAATTGAAAAAACAAACCAAACCAGCCTGGTGGACTTAAATGAGATGATTTGGAGCAATGCCTACTTTGGAGCTCTTTATCAATAAAATGAGGAAATACACTTCTAGATGTTTTAGAAAAGGTGCAGCCAGGATGCTTCTTGGTGGAAAGGATAGTGAAACTTGATCTCACATACTCTGGGCATGTCATTAGGAGGGACCAGTCCTTGGAAAAAGACTTCACTTGGAAAGGTGGAGGGTCAGGGATGGACTTAGTTCAATGAGATGGGCTGACACAGTGACTGTAACAGTGGGCTAGAGTATGCCAGAGATGGTCAGGATGGCAGGGCCTACAGCAGGACTCAGGTGTATTGATCATAGAGTTTTTATGAATAGTAGTCGGTGCATTGCCATGGGAAAGTCTGCTGTTAGGGACCTCTCCAAAGTACTCAAGAGCAATGGTGTCTCTCTGGAGACTAAGGTGCGTCTCATACAGGTCATGGTCTTCACAATCACTTGCTATGCATCAGAGAGTTGGACAATGACTAGGGAGGATAGAAGGAGAATTGATGCCTTTGAGCTGTGGTGCTGGAGAAGAGTATTGAGGATACCATGGACTGCTAGGAAAACAAACAGATTCATCCTGGAAAGAGTTAAACCGGGTGGCTCCCTGGAGGCAAGGATTCTGAGGCTCCATCTAACATACTTTGGACATGTTATAAGAAGGGACTGGTCCTTGGAGAGGGACATCATGCTTGGGAGGGTGGAAGGACAACGCAGGAGGGGAAGGCCCTCTATGAGGTGGTTTGATTCAGTGACTGGGATAATCGGGATGGGTGTGTCAGAGACAAGTGCGATTGGCACAGGACAGAGCAGAGTTTAGGGCTGTTGTACATAGGGTCGCTATGAGTCGCAAGCGACTCTACGGCATATAACAACAACAGTCGGCTTGAGGGCATTTAACAACAACAATAATTGAGTAAGAATTTGTACTTCTATCTCCCTGCAAAACCATAAATAAAAGCTGGGTCAAAGGGTCCTAGGAAGCCTTAATTATTGTCCATCGTCACCTTAGAAGGTTTCCAGGAGGAGGGTGCCTTGAGAAAGAGGAAGGTGCTTTCCCCAAGTAAGGGTTCTCTCTTTCCCTGCTCTGCAGTGTACACCTACATCCAAAGCCGATTCTACCGATCCCCGGAGGTGATTCTGGGTCACCCCTATAACATGGCCATTGACATGTGGAGCCTGGGATGCATCATGGCAGAGCTGTACACGGGCTACCCTCTGTTTCCAGGAGAGAATGAAGTGGAGCAATTGGCCTGCATCATGGAGGTGAGGAGAGCGCCTCCCCGTGGCTGGGTTGAAACGTGCACAATAGCAGAGGCTCTCAGATGCTAAGCTCCATCAGGTCATCTAGGACAGGAAGAGCAACTTTTTGTCGCTTTTGACTGTGCCCTAAAAATAGTTTTTTGAATTGTTTTTGAAATTATGTCCTCACTTGCATATTGTTGAGTTGACATTTTCATTATCAGTTTAGTTACAAAAGGAGCCCTGGTGGCTCAACGAATAAGCACTCTGCTGCTAATGGAGGGTTGGCAGCTTTAACGAACCTGGCAGCTCAGGGCAGAGAGATGCGGCAATGTGCTCCCATAAATATCACAGCTAGAAAACGCGACAGGGCAATTCTCTGTCACGTGGGCTCACTGACATCAGAATCATGTGCATGCGAATGAATGCACATGACAACGACAAAAATAGTTGAAGGATTTGGTTTCCAGTCTAGTTGCATACATGGTGTCACTTATAAGTAAACTTGTGATGACATTCTTTCAAATGGATCCAAAAAAGAAAAAAAAGAAAACATCACATGGATGTTACACTTTCCAAAATCTTCTGATTGTTGTTTCTTTTACTTGGTTCTTTTGTTCTCTTGAATTCATACTTTATCCTATTTCCTCTACAGAATTCTATCTTACTTTATTATCGTCTTACATTTTGAAATCTTTTATCAATCACTATATCTTAATTTTTTTTGTGTTCTTCTGTGTGCTACGAAGTTTCTTCTGATGATTTAAAATATATTTAGTACATACATTTTGATTAATCATTAAGCATAAAATACAAAATTTTATTTGGTATATGGCTCCTAGATAAAAGGGTGGGCCTGGGTTTTCTTTAATACCAATTCATTCATTCAATGAACTCTGGTGTCCTAATTGGTAGGGAGCAGCACTGCCAACCCTGGGTTTTCTGTAGTACTGATTCATTCATTCATTCGTTCATTAATGTATGAAGGAATTCTGGTGACCTAGGTGGTAGGGAGTAGAACTGCCAACCCAAAGGCATGTGGTTCAAATCCACCAGCTACTTTGTGAAAGAAATATGGGCAGTCTCCTCCAGTGAGATTTACAACCTGCTGGAGGGTCAGTTCCAACTTGATGGCAATAAGTTGAGTAGATGAATATTACTTATTGCTATAAAGAAAAGTCTCAGGAAAGATCCCAGCCCATCTTTTGGGTGTATAGACATGAACTAATTCATCAACTCCTTTTAACTTACTATTAAAACAAAATGTTGTTGTTGTTCTTATTGTGTACCATAGAGTTAGAATCAATCCATAGCTGACCCTCCAGTGGATTTTCAGAGGCAGTTAATTGCACAGGAAGAGATAGACCGTCCTGCTCCCTTGGAGCAGCTGGTGAACTTGAACAGCGTGCCTTTGGGCTTGCAGCGCAGCTTCTTGCCACTAGGCCACCAGCACTTCCTAAATAGCAATTTAAAAAAAATGAAGAAAACAAACAAACACCAAAAAACCAATCTCAAACCAATTAAGCACGCAAACCACACCCATTGGGTTTAAGTTGATTTGTGGTGATAGCTACCTCTGTCAGGTTTCTGAGACTCTAAATTGTTACAAAATGAGAATACCAATCTCTCGTCCCTGGCAGTGGTTGGTGGATCTTTGGGTTAGCAGCCCAACACATTACACAGTATGCCATCAGGACACCTTAAACAGTAATTATATTTAATACATTTAAAAATAAAGTATTTTTAACAACCAATTAGCTTATAAGCTGATTTCCATTTTATTGAAAATAGTAAATTAAAAATTGTTTAACTTGTAAAAAGAAATTTATTATTCAGTTATTAATCATTCACTGTCTTAATTCATATGAAGATAATATAACCATGCACACCCTAAAAAACAAGCAAGCTTTATATGAGCATTAATTACATCTGTTATTCTTTCACTTAGGATCATCTTGTTATAGAGGTAAATCAGACAAAATAAGAGGAAATAACCCTAAAAGTTTCAAAAACTTATTTAAAAGGATTTTTCTAGTGAGCAAAAATATTTTAACTATGGGCACATGCCTATACATCTTTGTATCTGGCTATGCTGAACATTTTTTTAGATTATTTTAAAATTACAAGTGATCAAAGAGACCTATACACGTTTGAAAATTATTAAACACTTCTATTTCTTGCTTATTCACTATCTTAGTATCCCTATTTCCCACTTAAAACAATAGTGGGAAACCTACTATGCAGCTCTTTTGCTCATTAGTGACAGGTATCTGGCAGGGTGCAGTGTGAGAGTAAGTTTGTAAGTAATTGAGAGTAAGTTTGACTGTCATAGGTAAGGTTATATATGTCCACTTGGCTGGGCCTTGAGTCTTAATGGTTTGGCAATTATGTGATAATGAAATTTGGCAGTTGCAGAATGGGGTAGTCTTCCTGCATTTTTTTATCTGATGTGATTATCCTCCATTTTTGCATAACTTCTATTTTTGTGCAATGACCTAGTCTTTGAAAACATGTTGATAAGTGAGGAGTGAGTGTATAAAGTGGGTGTACAGACTTCATTTCATGGCTGAAACAAATAAGGAAATATTAAAATAATTTAAATAATAATAGCTATAAATTCTAATTATAGTGGAATGAGTTCCAGCCTGGGAATTAGGAAACTTGGATCCTAACCTTTCCTCTGTCTCTTTGGCAAATTACTTATCCTTGCTACACCTCTGTAAGCTGAACAAATCTGCATAGATACCTCCTAAAGTTAACATTGGATGATTTTTATGGTGATCCGTGAATCATCCCCACTTCTAATACCACCAACAATAGTGTGAGCAGAGGATCTGGATCCAGGTCCAGATTCCTATCATCCTGAAACGTTCTCAGTTTCATCTTGAACTCAGTGCCAGTGGGACTGAGCTGATTATGCTTTGAATTCTGCAACAAGGACAAGTGGTCCATGCCTGAGGTTAACCCTGTCACTTTTCAATCTCTGTATTTCTGTGTATCTTCCTTAGTGGAGAGTGGTGTTATGTGAAAAGAAACTCGTTGGGGTTTTTTTAGTAGCTAGAAGATCCCCATCTCTTTTTCTAATGCTTTGTAGGGAGGTATGTCATTCTAAATTCAAATGCGACCATTTTTTTATTATCTCTGACAGTGAGCACTGGCCACCACAAAAAGTGGCCGTCTAGGAGCTGTTGATATTTATTTAGAAAAATGTGGCTGGTGTTGGCTCCAGGATATTGAAGTGGCCCTTAAGGGTTAAGAGTTTAGAGATGGGGCTCTGGGCCTGTTCTGTAACTGACAATGTTATCACTTAATAACTAAGTTACTCAAGTCCTCATCCATTGAAGGCAAAATCCCACTCAGCTCTAATAGTCCGTAAATCTGTGACTCCACAAAGAATGAACCAACTGCATTGTACTTGTTGAAGGTGCTGGGTCTGCCGCCAGCCCGCTTCATTCAGACGGCCTCCAGAAGACAGACATTCTTCGGTGAGTTTCCCAGTCCCTTTTCACATACCCCTGGCCTCCTTTCATGGTATTCATTTTGCTCCCTAACAAAGAGGCAAGATGTGATTAAAAATGTCTTTCAGAAAAGTAAAAAAAAAAAAGAAGAAGAAGAAAGAGAAGGGTGCTCAAAACTGGTGGCATGGTGGAGAAGAGGGTGGGGCGAGAGGTGGAAAGTCACTTTGGGGATGGAGTATTAGCAGTGAAAATACACAGGGTCAGGAGGAAAGCGAGGCTCCTCTCCTGAATATTAACTAGCAATCTGAAAATCTCAAAAAGATTCTAATTATGTCTCCTGAACCTCCTCCCCACCTTACCCAGTCAACTTGGTGTCTAACAGTATTGACCTCACCTCACTGTACAGGGAAATCAAAGAGCAAAAGCTTCTTTTGAACAAAGTGGAGTAATTCCACTGTCACCTTCTGTCATTAATGAAGCATTATGCTGCCCTACTGAAAATCTCATACTCAGCCAAATCTTTATTTTCCAGGCTCTTTGCAACTTTGGTATAAGATGGATAGACAAGGGTTATGAGAACAGTTTTTCTATGCTCATATTTTGGCTGATCAATTATGTACAGGTCATTTGTCTGCTAGAATTAAGCCTCACCCTCAGTCCTGCCTGCACCCCCAACCCTCATCATAGTTCCCAAGCTTTTGAGATTTTTATGATCCTATGTGTTTCTGTTTGAGTGCTGCTGTAAAAAAGATGGATAGATGATCTATCAGAGCACAACACGGGGAGTGCTTCCAGGGCACCGGGCCCCAAAATGATGAAGTCAGTCCCAGATCTAAAATCCACCTAAAGAACCTCAGAAAGTTAAGGGATTCCCAGGTCAGAAAGACCATGTTGGTGGGAAGGTCGGCTAAGTGGAACAAAACCAGACATGAAAAGGATTCCACAGGCATGCACACTCCTGCTCCCCTACAATGACACAGCTGGTTTATAGGTATGCTGCCTGTAAAATCCCAGTTATTCCTATTCTTTCTCCCATCTTTTATTTTTAAGCAGAAGTGGGCTCAGTAGAGGTGATACAGGTCACATGCTTTTTCTCCACTTTAATAGAACAATAGCTTGCCCCATTAATAGGAAAGCCAAGAATAGCATACTCCTTGAAGACTCCTCTTGGACAAAAGGAACTGGGTTATGCAGGGCTGATACCTTTCAGTTTGTATTGATTCAGCCATGTGACTATTAAAATGTTGGCCCATTCCTGGACCAGTTGGTAAATAGCCATAACCCTGAGCCACACACAAACACAACTTCCTTGCCCTCTCTTCTAGTCCTCTTGACCGCCACATACTCCAGAAACGAAAATGTTAATACCTTTGCAAGCAGAGGTCTTCATGACCCATCTTCCATGCCAAGGTTGGCATCCATCCTGACTGGTCAGTGTTCATGCTTAAATTGGTCAGTATCAATGCTTAAATATTTTAATATTATGGTCAGATTTGAAGATGTTGTCTGTGAGCCAGGGCAGGGCCTTGAATGCCCTATAACACTGCTTGCATAACTCCCTTTCTTCTAGATAAGTCTGATTATAGGATTTGGCTGGCACTCTGTTAAGTTATACATGAACAGTGGGGTCGATCTCTTAACTCTTAATAGATTTTGCCCTCCTGCCACTTACCATTCAGCTTTGGGCTGTTGACTGATTTTAGGTAAGAAGGTGGTGATATTCCCTTTTGATGGACAAGGACATTGTGAGGAATCACATCTTAAGATAATAACACACAGGACTCATGAGGTAGCATCTAGATGAGGACTAGAAGGAAGGAACTATAGCGGAGGTGGGAGGAGAGTTCCAAAGGGGAGGTATGCATGCCTCCTTTGTGGAGTTCCCAATGTCTGCCATCAGCACTAGGCTTTTGAATGGTGATGTGGTTTTGGTAAGAATATTTCCATGAATAATAAAGGACTGCAAATGGAGCTGCTTCCTCTTAAGTGTTTCCCAAACTTTTTTAGATCATAAGAATTGAGGAATTATTGTAATCATTGTTATTCTTAGCAATTTTGATAGCAAATCAATTTTAGTTCATAGCAACCTCATGTGACATCAGGTGAGTATCAGAGTAGCATCAGGTGTTTCTTCTATAGAGCTGAGGTTTTGAACCACCAACCATTTGGTTAACAAATTAATGCTTAACCATTGTGCCATCAGGGCACTTGGAAACATGTTCATTCCCAGTCGCCTCTTTAAAAGGAAGTTCTGGGGACCTGACCTAGTACATTTGAACTGGGACCCAAGATTTTGATTTGGTTTTTAACACCTCCTTATGATTTTTATGCTAAGGTTCTTGTCTCCTCCTTGTCTGTTTTGACCCTCTCTCTCAACTGCTTCTCAAGTCTCAGTCATAACTAGTTAATATTCTCAGCCGGTAGCAAATTGTTGTTGCCCCTCGGTAGAAAGATACTTAGGTGCCAGAGGCAGTAAGAAAGAAGTGGAGAGCAAAATTAAGTATTGGATACAGAGAGAGTACTCAGTAAGCAAGGTGTGCAGGGACTTTAGTTGTGCTTACTTATTGGTTTATAGAGCACAAATGCATGTGAAGTTCAAGTCCGTTAAGTTGGACTCAATTCAGGGCTGGTCCTCCAGTGGGTTTTTGGAGGTTGTAAATTGCACAAGTGGAGATTTCCCATCTTTCTCCCACAAAGCCATTGGTGGATTTGAACCACCAGAGAAGCATAGCCTTTGAGACAAGGCCAGCAGAGCTCCACAGATAGGTAAGAACCTACCAGTGCACCATGCGCACCTACCAGTGCAGACTGTGTTACTGCTTGGGAAGGACCAGGCAAGATTTTGGTGTGACTATTAAGTGAAAAAGTCAATCTGCTTGAGTTAATGAGCTCTGAAAGCAAATCCTTATGCTGAAATGGATTTCTTGCTATCACCTTTGTGCATCCCCAATTTCCACTTTCTTGGACTAATGAGGAAAGGATAAGGACAAAGATAATTCCAGAGTTGATAATATATTTTTGATCATAGTTGAATTCTTTTTTAATTTCATATTTATTCTATTACTATTACTACCATTGCTACTGTAGCTGCTACTATTACTATTATGATTCCTGTGAAGCCATTTAAACCATCTCATTGGGAAATGAAGTGTTGGGAAGGTTGTTCAAAACACACTGGGTAGTAGGGGAAACTGGGCTTTAAGTTCTATTTTAATATACATGTGATTGCTTACATGGTGTGTGTGCTTGTGTACAAGGGAGGGGAAGGGGATAAGAGACAGTGGCCAAATTTGCCCAGAGCAGCAGGGTTGAGTAAGCTATTGTGATATGACCAGTGAATATTTACACCTGGAACTAAATACAGAATGTTGTATCTCTAAAGATTCCAAAGGTTTTCCTAAAACTATAACCAACAACAGGGGGAAAAAAAGATACCCGGACTCCAAGGACCTCACAATGGTGCTGAAAACCTATGACGCCAGCTTCCTTGACTTTCTCAAAAGGTGTTTGGTGTGAGTCACTTTTGCTTCTGGGCTTCCTCTTAAATACTTCCCTTCCACATATGTTAGCTGGTAAAGGCTGCAACTTGGGGACAATTACAAAAATGACACTAAATCCTCCTGTGTTAAGGAATTAAAGCCTCCTGCCCTAAGTACCAACTTAGTACATGTTAGCTGTTACCATTTTACTATACTCCAGCCTACAAGAGTGCAGGCTCACTGCAAGTCAGAGTGCACTCCATGCCAGAGGCTTTGTGAGACGATGGTGCTTAGACACTTTTTGAAGCTAGGAACTCATGGCTCAAGTTTCAGCCATAGACAGCTCTGGTGGCATAGTGGTAAGGAGTTGCACTGGTAACCCAAAGGGTACATAGTTTTAATCCACCAGTGAGACAAAGATGGGCAGCCTCCTCCCATGTGATTATAACTGCTTCTGAAAACCCACTGGAGAGTAAACTGTGGGTCGATTCCAACTCAAACTCAACAATACACAACATCAACAACATGAGGTGAACAGTCAGGAAATCAAAAGACAAATTGCTTTAGGGAAAATATGCTACGAGGAACCTTTCCAGAGTACTGAAGAGCAACAATGTCAGTCTAGAGACTAAGGTGCTTCTGATTCAGACCATGGTCTTTATAGTTTCTATGTGTAGAGAGCTGGACAATGACCAAAGAAAGCAGAAGAAGACTTGATGCCTTTGAGTTGTGGTGCTGGAGAAGAGTCTCGAACAGACCACAGACCATCAAGAGAACAAATGAGTCTGTTCTGGAAAGAGTGAAACCAAGCTGCTCCTTTGAGGCTAGAATTTTGCAGTTCCATCTCACATACTTTGGGCATATGGCTGGGAAAGAAGCAGTCCTAGGAGAAAGATATCATGGTTGGAAGGATGGAGGGACAGATCAAGAAAGGAAGATCCCAGATGAGATTAATTGACACAGTAATTAGGGTACTGAGGATATGTGTGCCAGAGGCAGTGAGATTGACTCAGGAAAGGGCAGAGTGCAGAGATATTATACATAGGGTTGCTGTGAGTCGTAGTCGACTGAATGGCACTTAACAACATACACTCCTTGGAACCATCCACCACACAAGATTAGAACAGCAGCTTTTGTTCAGAGATAAACCTAAGGAGGCATGCACGTTTACGAAAGAAGAGTGGTTGAAAGAGGTAAGGGTAATTGGTAATGAGGACGTGGAAGGATTCATTACATGATGGGAGTTTCAGTTAATGTCACAAAATAAAATGCATTTGAATTCTTGAATGGGAAACCAATCTTCTCTGTAAGCTGTCCATCCAAACTACCAAAAAAAAGTAGGCAGTTACAAAAGATAAACAAATAAATAAAGTTTTCTAGTTTATCTCCACTGCGTAGCAAGTAGCTGAGTGATACTGGACCAGTCACTGTTCCTCTCTGAACCTCAGTGTTCTCTGTAAATTGAGGTATTCTTTTAGTCACTTCTAGCTTGATCAGGCCTATAGTTGTATTTTCAGAAAGCCTTATCTTTATATTCTCTTCTATGGGATTGAGTAGTTTTAGCAAATTATGGATGTGGCATTTGAGCATCCTGGAATTGTTACTAGCTCAGATAGTAAACCAGCAAGTTCTACAGGAAGCTTTGCCGTCTGAGGGTTAGCTGAATAAGCAGGTAGAGAAGAATCCTGTTCCCCATCTTTACCTCTGCCCTATCCTAGCTTCTCGCTGAGGTTATAGAATGAATGTGCATTAACAAATGACAAATTCACCACTTAGGCATGGTCAAGTTATCTCAGAACTCCAATTATTCAGAAACAAGCCACATCCACTAAGAAACATTTTGAAAGGAGGATGATTTGGTTGTTCACAACTTGCAGAAGAAGTTCTTTTCAACATGATGGACACCAAGTAGGCAACAGCTGGCATTTCCTACTGTAGAAGCTGGGAACACTTTCATGTGACCACTAGTTAATAGTGATGTGAAAGTCAGTGGACAGCTGAAGGATTGTGATGGGGAAAAGGATTAGTTGCCATACTCTGTGTTATGACAATAGGAAGAGTTAGGATCTGGAGAGGTAAAAATAGCTGTGAAGTTAATTTTTGCTTAGTACTTATGAAGAAATGTTAAAGAATTGGAGTTTTTCCAAATTAGAATAATTGACTCTCTGAGATGGTGCCTTGTCACTGAAATCAGTCAAAATGCCCACGGTTTTACAGATATATTCAGTAAGATGTGCTTAGAGGTTTGACTAGATTGCACCTACATCCCGTTATAAATATGAATATCCTTGCATTCTCTAGTTTTCTATGTGATACATTTAGATGCCCAGATTCCAGGCTATGGGAATTGAAACCAAGTGTCTCTTTGCTGTGACATTATTTACTCATCCCTAAGGAATTTTTTTCTATTAGAGATAAGAGAGTTTCTAGGAATCCTAGAAAATTTGAGTTCTACTATATTTTCCAACTTGGTATTTAGGGTTTTTTTTAAAGAGATTCATTCAATAGTTCTCCCCAATTACCTTTCAGTTATATGCTATCATTTCTATACTACTCTAACTTTGAGTTGTATCTTAAATCGTTTATTTAAGGAAATGGAAATAATCAATGCTGGGCTTTGTTGGTGTGTAGGTGGGAACCTAAACTAATAAATTAGTTTATTTAAGGAAATAGAATAATCAATGCTGGGCTTTGTTGGTGTGTAGGTGGGAACCTTCCCATCGCATGACCCCTGACCAAGCCCTCAAGCATGCTTGGATTCATGAGCCACGGAGCTTCAAACACAGGCCTAGGACCCAGGTCCTAAGAAAATCTAGTTTCGATGTGCCATTGGACGGAAAGAAGAATGATGTTCAACACCATCCTCACTTGGGCAAAAAAGGTACAGCCCTCCAATCATCAGTCCCCTTCCCAAAGGCACCCGACAGGTCTGAAGATTTATATGCCAACTTCTCTGGACTTGATCTTGCATGATTATTCCAATATATCACTGCAGTCTACCATTTCTTAGCTGCCTTTTGAGATTGTACTGGATTTTTGGTTCTTTGTATCTTCCCCCCCCCCCATTATCTTTTGAATTTGTTCCTTTTAATTCTCTAAGGAACCCTAGAGATGCCTTCCTGGCACAGTGGTTAAAGTGCTCAGATGCTCCATGGGAGAAAGCTCTGCCAATCTGCTTCTGTAAAGATCTGTAGCCTTGGAAAATCCCATGGTGCAATTGTATTCGGTCCTACAGAATTGCTATGAGTTGCAACTGACTTGATGGCGGTAGGTTTAGTTTTGGATGGAGCCTTAGTGGTGCAGTGGTTAAACACACAATGTATAATGGAAAGGTTTGAGCCCACAAGCTACTAGGTAGGAGAAATATGTGGTGGTCTTTCTGTAGGGTCTTTCTGTTTTACAGGACCACTATGAGCAGGAATATAGACAGAACGATAGTTTTCCTTTAAATATCATACCGCTAGGGTTTCCCCCAAAACCCTTTACTGTCTAATGGACAATGTTGTTTGTTCATAATTGGATGCAGCTTGCTGGCCCTCTCTCTCTCTCTCTCTCTCTCTCTCTTTTCCTTGGGCAGATGAGATCACTAAGGAAGAAGCTACAGGAGATGGAGCCACTGTGAAGCCAGTCCAGAATACAGCTGCTCAACAGGATTCTGTCAAGCGCGGGGCTGACGCTGTCCCACTGCCTCATCTGGAAGAAGCTCCTGGGAAACCAGAGGCAGTTGTCAAATCGGAGAAGTCCCCAACTGCTGCACAAGAGCAAAGCAAGAACTCCTCCCCTAAGAACACAGACATTCTACCACCCATTACATGACTTTTGTTGAGGATACACCCAGTTCCTGTCCACCAGTGATTTGTATTGAGATAGAATTTATATTGTGCAATACTCCAGATTGTCATTTTTAATGCACATTGATTTGTTTTTAAAAAAAGAAAACCAAAACTATTCACATGGCCATTTGGCATGATTCCACTTGTAAGGGATGTGGGGAGGATGGCTTTCCCTCTGTCCATAACTAGATAAAGCAGTAAGTGGTTTTGGCACTCAAATAGTGTTGTAATTAGTTTAATGCTGTCTATACTCAAACACTGTTAAAGCATCAACAATGGTGTTTTAATAAAAAGAAATTTTTCTTCTTGCTCAAGACTGCCATCTTTGGTCAGTCAGGATTCTTGTTTAAAAATGACAAGTTTAACTCAAACCAGTTTAAGCAACCAAGTGTATTTTTGCTTTATGTATTTGGAAAACCAAGAGGGATGGATATAGTTTCAGGAACAACAGGATCTAAATATTTAAATAAGATTATAGAGTTCAGAAGCCATCAGAGTTCGTTTTGGTGAATTATCTGTGCTTCTCTTCATAGTTAGTTAGCTTCATTTTGATGATGGATCTTCTAACAACATATAACCACCAACATCCAGTCAAAAGCTGTATTCTTTCTTACCATCTCAGAAATAACTGTTTGGCTTTGGCATGAATGAAATTACTGTAGATGAACCATTTACTGTGTCTGAGATATTGGAATAATCTGATTGGCTAGTTAGGACCAGTTTTCACACTGGCTGGGGGGGAATGACACCCCTCTTGGACTCCATGGAGCGGGCAAGGGATATTTTCCAATGGAAGAAATTTTTATTAAACAAGCAGACTATGTTCACTTGTCCATCCCACCCCAAAATCTAGCCATATTCCATCATTCAATTAAACATACATAATTTATATAAAGTTATTGCATATACTTAGACATTAAACTGAAGATCATAATATAAATGTTGTTGTTGTTGTTGTTAAGTGCCATTAAGTCATAGACGATTCATAGTGACTATGAACCAAAGACCTGAACATTGGATCTTTTCTCCAAGTTCATAGAGTTTTCAGAGGCAAGCTATTTTGGAAGTGGATGCCACTCCTGCTTCCATGCTCCACCAAACACTGTCCACCATGGGTAACCATTATTGCATTTGACACATCAGTGTCACAGTGTTTAACATCACAGCAATCACATACCTGTCTTCATAGCTTTCACTTTACTGGCTGGATAAAGTCCATCAGGGAAATCACTTAGCATCTGGAGCTATGGCTTTGGATGAGATCACTCAGGGAAGATGATAAAGAGTAAGATTAAGAGAGAATCAAGAGAAAGTCCTAGGAAAGAGAAATATGGAAGATGTTGACAGGTGAGTAGACACCCCTCTTAACTGTAAAAAGGCTCAAAGAAGTAGGAAGAAAACTGGAAGTCAAAGAACTAGAAAATACACAGAAGTGGAAAACAAGCAAATGGTCAAGAATATAGAAGGATCAGGATAATAACAACAACAATAGTAATGTGGCATATTATAGCTGATGGAGCGAGTGACATGTCAGGTGACTTGTGGAGGGTCTGATAGTAGAAAGGTAAAAGCACTGGCGACAGAACTCAGATATTCTGGTCCTTTTTACTTAAGCACCAGCTCTCTTCAACTATAGATAAAACTGGAGGCATACAGGAGTTCTCCAGCTCCACACACATGGGATAAGAAGCCAAATCCTAGACATCCTGATGAAAACTATAGAGCATTTTCTGATTTTTATGAATTATTGATGAATTGTGCCTTCTTCTTTTGAGAGAACACTTTCTAGGAAGGGAGTCACAAACTGGTTCAAATGAACACAGGGAACAGGCTGAGTGACCTTGGATGGTACCTGTTAGTCCAGCACTATCTTAGCCCTGCTGTTCATCTGATTATCTTTTCAATTTCTTTACTCTATTGGCAATATGATGGATCTTAAGGAATTCAAAGGTAAATCTTAAGGAAACCAAACACCGTGAGCCCTTTAATTGTAATTTGTTTATTTTATGTCCTTGCTCGCATGGACAGGAAAATCTGCAAAATCCAATGACTAGCATATGATGGCATGTCTTTCTCATGAGTGGTATGAAGATAGTGTTAGGGCTCTGAGGATACGGAGAGGGAAGCTGTGGAGGTGAGGTTGGAGGAGAGAGGTGACAAGGGCTGGGCAGTGGTGGATAGACAGTGGTGGGTGGCCACCCGGTTACAGATTCACCATCAGCCAGTCCAGCAGCTGCAGCCGAGTCACGTTCCCCACCGCCTCGTCCAGCTGTCGCTCCTTCTCATAGCGCAGTACCGACTGCAGGACCTCACCGACGCTGCGCCCTTTGTCTACAGCGGTAGCCGAGAGCTGAAGCAGCTATGGAGAGGAAAGAGAAAAAATAGTGGAGGTGCTGAACTCCCATGGCTGGCCGCAAAAGGCCCGCCAAGATGAGAAGAGGTTGGACCAACTTGGGAGAACTGCAACTGGGCAGACATCCCTAATTCTCACCTTTGCTGGCCTATTGGACACATTAGCACCCTTAAACAAAAGATGTTAATAGCCACCTGCCTATGGCATGCAAATATAATTCCCCATGAAAAGAAAAATCTGCTGTTTCCCTATTTGTGCAGTGGGTATGTGATCAATGGTGCTGTAGACCTCAAAGGATTCTAGATGCCCTCTGTCACTGTGGTCTCAGAAAACAGGCTCTGTTGTTCCACCATCAGTACACTTGGTTTCAGCAGTCAGGAGATCAGCAGACGTATTGCACTGGAAAAGTCTGTAATCAGAGACCTCTCCAAATTATTGAGCAGCAATGAGATCAGGACGAAGGTGCCCCTGATTCAGACTGTGGTCTTTTCTGTCATTTGCTAGATTTTCAACTGCATCACAGATACACACCATGCCTCAGTATATATTTAGCTCAATTTTCTCTATTTTGCAAATATATTGCTCTGCCTAAGAACTAACACCATTATGTTGTTTTAGTTGTGTGCCGTCAAGTTGGAAGCGACTCATAGCTGATCCTCTAGCAGGTTTTCAGATAGTAAATCATCCAGAAAAAAGATTGCTCATCCTTCTCAATGCTGGTTTATTGACTAAATTTGTTTTCATTGTTATTTATGTTTTTCTATTTTTTTTAAATTTTATTTTGTGTGTACCATCAAATCTGATCTGACTGGAACAGGAGGAGATTGCCCCTCCTTCTCCAGCACAGCACCTGGTGAATTCGAACCATGTACCTCTGAGATTGTAGTGCAGCTTCTTGCCACTAGGCCACCAGAGCTTCCTGTTAATTATGTTTTAAGGTAACTAAATTGTTTGAAGATTGGCAGTGTCTTCATAGTATAGTCAAATACTCGACAGAGAAGCTGTTATGACAGGGCCTTGACTCTCTGTTAGGCCAGTTGTAGGGAATGCCGGTCAGACTGTGGTATTGAGGCAGCCAGGACTGGGAAGATGGGCACTGAAAGGCAGAGGAAAGTAGTCTCTCTAGGTCTAGCTCTCTTGAGAATGACCTTCTTAGGGGCTAGATATGCTGAAGGTACTTCTTGTTGTTATGTGCCGTTGAGTCGTTTGCGACTCATAGCGACCCTATGTACAACAGCCCTAAACCCTGCTCTATCCTGTGCCAATCGCACTGCCTCTGACACTCCCATCCCGATTACCCCAGTCACTGAATCAATCCACCTCATAGAGGGTCTTCCCCTCCTGTGCCGTCCCTCCACCCATGATGTCCCTCTCCAAGGACCTGTCCCTCCTTACAACATGTCCAAAGTATGTCAGACGAAGACCCAGAAGCTGCTGAAGATACTAGGGAAAGAATAATCTCTGACACATGAGAGTGACTAGAAGTCAGGAAGAGAAGTGCTCAATTGGAAAACCCAAGTGGCAGATAAGGAAGCTGAATCCTGCAAAGCTAGTTATTAAGATTCTTCAACCTTTTCCCAATTACCGTCACTACAGTTAAGAGAAAATTGCCGTTTATTTAAAAATAGTATATCCTCTATTAAACTTTTAAGCTTAACATTGGAGCAACCCTTCATGTGAGAAGATGGGTACCTGAAAGTCAAGGGTCCTGGATGTTATGCACTAATTTTCATCTAATCTCGGAAATGATCTATGCTTTATCCCTAATCTGGTCCAGGGATAGTCCTCTCTCTTTAGTGCTCTCTGAGTCCAAGTATGTGTTCCCCACCCTCCTCTCAATTCAACACAACACAGATAAAACCAGTGAGAATAGATAAACACAAAATTATGGGTGGGGGAAGAGCGGGGAAGAATTATTAGTCTACTGTTGGCAACAGTACACTTACACAATCATTCAAAAATTCACAAGAAAAACATAAATCTCAGCTGCAAGAATCAGAAATATGTTACTAATCTTTCCTCAGTGAAGATTCCCTTTACTGATAAACCTTGAAGTGATTTGATAGGGAGTCACAGTTAACTTACTATTCTTTATTATTTACTATTGATATATCCCAGTATTATAGAATTGACACATCCCATTCCCCAAATTTTTGGTATAATGAAAGTTGCACTGCTCTACTATTTTCCTGGGGGGTGGGGTGCATGAAAATATCTTTTTTTTTATACTCCTCTATCTTTACTATCTTTCAAAAAACTCTCATTGCTATCAAGTTGGAACAGACTTATAAATGAATAAATGAATGGTTGTTTACCGGGTTTCCGAGTCTATAAATTGTGCAGGAGGAGATTTCCATCTGATGGCTGAACTAACAGAGAGGTGCAGCCTTTGGTTTAGCAATGCAACTCCCACAGAAAACAGCATAATGTATAAATGGGTATATCAGACACCAGACACCTCAAGGTATTAAATACAGAAGAAATGCATGACATCAATACCACAGCCAGCACTGTATTACCAGATCTGTGAATGAAGGAAATAATTTTTCACACTATCTGGCTAGATCATCATCTCAAAATTCTTCTCCCCACAGTAGATGTTTGTGATATATTTCCATCACAAGCTTGTATCTACCTCGCCAAGGAGCAGTCACATTTCATGTCCTCAGATGGGTTTAGATGAGAACTAGCAGGAATATAGAATTTTATTACGAGAAATTTTACACAGTATTCTAAAAATGTGTGGAGATGTTGAAAGCCTCTGAAATTTGTTTTATTAATGAGATACGCATGAACAGTCTGACATAAAACCTAAGAAAGGTATGACACAACTTGAATTAGAAGTGCATTCTGAGTATATCATAGAAAATGTTGCTATCTACTTATCATCCATTGTTTGTAGGAGGCAGTGACAAATTGAATTTGAAGAGCAATACAGGGGCAGTGGCTTTCTCCTATTCCTTTTTAGGCTGTTTCCTCTGAAGTTTTAGAAATAGTTTAAATTTTAAAGAAGAATGATGTAATCATCATTTCTTCTGCTCTTTGTTCAAAGAAAGAATCGGGAATTGGTGAGTCATGCTACTGGATAAATCTGAAGATTTACTGTCTTACTCATCTTTATTTACTTCAAATATTTTTTAATGAGACAATATGAATGAATAAATTAATGAATTAAAAATTATATTTGAGACTTTTAGGCATACTCAGGACACACTGGTTGATCTCCTTGATAAAATATCATTAAAATGATAGTAAAGTAATAAAGAATGTGTACTTTTACACACTGATTTATGAAACCTAGAAAATGGGTGGAGAATGGATAACTTATTTAATAGAAGAAGATGTTACATCGAAGTATCTGTGGAAAGGGATAACCACAACAAGAGAACTGATACAGAGTTTTGTAAAGGCATTTACACCAGGTCCTGGAGAAGAGGCTGAAAATAGTTGTGGGGTTGCTTAAAAGTCTGGGAGGATTAGAATCATTCTGGGTCCCTTTTAATGCTATAGAACCAGAGGTTGGTCCTCACCCACTCCTGCACTGTCTCTCCACCCTTCCAAGCATGATGTCCTTCTCCAAGGACAGTCTTTCCTGGCCACGTGCCCAAAGTATGTGAAATGGAGCTTCAAAATCATAGCCTCTGAGGTTTTTACCCTCTCCAAGACAGATGTATTTGTTTTCTTGGTAGTCCAGAGTATGTTCAAGACTCTTATTCCACACCACAACTAAAAGGCATCTATTCTTCTTCTGTCCGTTTTAGTCATTGTCCAGCTCTTTGAAGTATAACAACTAATTGAGAAGATCGTGGCCTGGATTATGCCCACCTTTGTATCTAAACTGACATTGTTGCTTTTCAGCACTCTGGAGCGGTCCATGACAGCAGATTTTCTCAGTGCAATTTGTCATTTGATTTCCTGACTGCTGGTGTTGATTGTGGATCCAAGCAAGCTGTAATTGCTAACAACTTCAATCTCCTCTCCTTCTATTATGGTGCTGACAACTGGCCCAGTGGTGAGAATCTCTGTCTTCTTGATGTTGAGCTTTAATCCATATTGAAGACTACAGTCCTTGACTTTCTGCAGCAAGTGTTCAGGCCTTCTGTTTTAACAAGTAAGGTTATGTCATCTGCATATTGTAGGTTGTTGATGAGTCTTCCTCCAATCTTGATGCCACACTCCTCCTCATAAAGCCCTGCTTCTCAAATGATCTGTTCTGCATACAGATTGAAAAGGTGTGGGGACAGGATGCATCCCTGATGCATTCTTTTCTTGATTTTGAACCATGCAGTATTTCTTTGCTCTGTTCTGAGGACTGCTTTTTGGTCCAAGTATAAGTTTTATATATTACATGAAAACCAATAAGATTTAAAGAAAGAAGCATTAAACAGAAAAAAAGGCAATGAAGATAACAGAAGAAAATATAATAAATCTTACAGTATTATCAATAAGGGGAAAAAAAAACTCTTAGAACATATGAGTCATTGAAAATTAATATAATTATAGATAAAAGAAAAATATCAGTAGAAGGGTTAGAATAAATTTTTACCAAGAGTAAAACAAAAACATAAAGAAACCAAAAAAGTAGAAAAATTAACATAAAATATAAATTCAGCCAAGGAGAATGAGAAAGAAAAACATCAATGTAGGTACTATCAAAGAAATAATACAAAAAAAATTATAGATGAGAACTGAAAAT